CCAATGATAACCGATCTTCCTTCTATAATTCCATGAACTTTAATCTGATTTATTCTTATGTGCATGCTGAAATCGACTATTTAGTCGATCTCCTTCCACATCGGCTCTCGAGCCACACATTCGTGGATCGCCTAGCAATACCGGGTATCTTCCGCCTTAAATTACTGATTAGCTTTTTTCCATGACAATTGCAGGGTCAAATTGACTGGCACGTCTCGGGAGGAGTACGCAGGATCGACCATCCCTACGTTGAAGCTAGGCGGATCTATAGCTCTATCGAGCAGACCCTTTCGGCTTACTCGTGTGTGCTCTCGACACGACGCGAAAATTCGTGCCGACACATCGCTCGACACGCCTGGTGGAACCCCACAATCGTCATGGCGGTTCACAACAACAACGATATCCTTATGGTACATTACAAAGACCTACTTGATCGAGATAGAGATGTCATCGGTAAAGCTATAGAAAAATTTCAGAACAAGTGTTTGTTGTCCTACACCAAAACACGCGACAATACAATTGTTCGAAATATCCACTACCAAGAGTTCTATTGCATGGGGCGGATGATGCGATGAGATCCAAGACAGGCGTTTCTTCACAAAAGCTATAAATAAGTCTGTTCATGGTGCCATATCGAACCATAATGAAATTTTCTTGAATACATTCCACAACACCATGAAGGAAGTGTTTCATGGGTTTCTAGTTGATTAGATTGGTCCGGCTTATTACAACATTCCACATCCGTCGACTCAAGGGACTAATCAAACTAGTACCACCACAAGAAGCAAAGACCACCGGTAATAATAATGATGTCTAGGCGAGTTCGAGTTTATCCGAACAAGCTCAAGGTGTTACTATAAATCGATACATGATAATCCTCGGATCATCGATGCAAAGATGTGCAATAGTCGGCGGGGCAAAGTCGTAACCGCACGATTAATTTTGGCACATCCGGCCACATACCATCATCGGCTCAAAAATAGCACCATCAATTCAAAGGAGCGCCACCCACCGTTTTTCTCTTCTTCGACTGCTCGTCTATCGCTGCCCTCTTACCCCGACCTTCTCTCGACACCGGGGAGAACTCTCCGTCCGACCAGCGTCTCGTGCCTTCGGACTCGACGAGGCGCCGTCAGATCTTCTTTAGTCCGAAGCCGGTGACCGGGCGTCTACACCCTTCACCAATCACCACTCGGCATGCCCGAGAAGTACACCGCTTTTTCTGCGAATGAATCTTTGCATAAGTGAATCAGTTCACTGCTCGGCAATGCTACATGATTCAAAGTATCAGGAACAAACAATCAAGATGGATACCTGAGAGGGCGGATTCGTGCAGTTAAAAGGTCTCATCTGCCCTGACACCCGGAAGGAGGCCAATGGAGCGAATAGCTCTACGGCCTGCTCTACAACCTCATCTTTTGACAGCGCCTCCGACCTCTCTCGGGTGCCGTCAGTGTCTCCCTTAAAGTCAAAGCCCACATGGGCCCTCTCCTTGCAGGGTTGGATGCAGCGCATTATGAAACTCATTGCTACTAGTCCACCGTTGGTCTTCACGCCCTTTATTAGGCCAAGGAGCTCCCTCACTTGCTCCATATCAGCACGGTTTGGCCTCTCCGACCAGCTTTTCTGGCTCTCTGGGATGTGGATGGCGTCGCAGCAGATGACAGGATGACTCTGCTTCATGTAGAACCACCTAGCGTTCCACCCTTTTAGCGACGTGTTTAGCAGCACAGTAAGGTACTCACCCACCATTCCATCATGCAGCTGAAGATATACTCCGCCGACCACCTTGGAACCGCTGTCGCCCTTCTTCTTTAGCCAGAACAGGTGTCTGAAGAGGTTAAAGTGTGGAAGAATCCCCAAATACGCTTCGCAGACGTGAATAAAAATTGAGATGTGCAAGATGGTGTTTGGGTGGAGATTGCACAGACTAAGTGCCCAGGACTCCAACAGATCCCTCGAAAAAGGATGAACAGGAAATCCCAATCCTCGCCAGAAATAATCCTCAAACACCACTATTTCATCAGTGTGAGGCATTGGGAAGGGCTCACCACTGGCTGGCCGCCATCTGGCGGTGACGCGGTCAGGAAGAACGTCCGCCTCCACCGATCTTCGTCACGGCTGGCTTCGGCATTCGCCTTCTTTGGGCTCACTTTCTTTGGGTTCACACTCCCCTCTTGGCTCCATCTCTCGACGGATGGGGATTGGCGGCGGAAGCATGCGTGGTTGTGAATCTAGAATTGCGAGGGTTAAGGAAGTAGATGAAAGTGGCAAAGGTGGGAGCGCGGGGTTCGGCGGCGCAGTTATAAAGCACTCCCCCCACCTTTTCGCATTCGGGGGTTTTTGGGAAACCGTTCCTGCGATCTGTGCTTCTCTGAATTCTCCGCAACTGAAGGTGGCCGTTACCTGGGCCTTCGTGCAACCCCGGCCCGTATCGCTGATTTATCTCCACAATTTGTTACGGCTCGGCAAATATTCGCCGACATCTCCGCCAACCGTTACGGCTCAGTAATTACTACTTTGTGCGTACCACTCATTCGGGTTTTCTCCACGATTCTATTTTCTCCAAGTTGATTGCTGTTTCTGACCCTGGCACCACGTGACCATGTCACCTACTGTTAGGCTCGGAGACTAAGTGGGCACACTTCACCGTGCGGTGAATGTGCTTTTTGGGGCTACGCAATCTAACATATTCACATTTAGCCCATGCACCAGTGTAGAATTTGATTGCTGAGATGGATGAAATATGTGTAAGGCATGCTGGATAATTTTCCTTTTTTGTTTTTATAAATTGTCTTTGCTGACGCGTTTAACCAAGACATGTCGCTGATAAGATCCACATCAGTGACGTGTTTTGGCTAGATGCGTTGCTCGCGTCTTGGCGGAACGCGTCGCTGCTGAAAGTCATTAGTGACGCGTCTTGGCGGAACGCGTCGCTGCTGAAAGTCATTAGTGACGCGTTTTTATACGTCACTGATGTGTTCACATCAGAGATGCAATATAAGTGACGTGTTTTTTTCCACGTCACTAATAACTGTCTAGACACGTCTCTAATGTGAAAATCTGACATAGTGACAAATTTATACTGGTTCACGTACAGGGTGCTCTACGTCCAGTGGAGAATAGCTCTTTATCTCGTATGCTTGGTGTTTATAGGGGCGCTGATAGCTATGAGTCTAATTGCTAGGGTTGCAATCAGGTATGAGCAGATACCGATCGAGGCCTCCCTACCTCACCTTATATAGTCCGGGAGGTAGGGTTATCGTTCGAGTCCCGATCGGTTTACAGTAAGGTTTCCTTGTCGTTTACAAGGAAATCTATTGTGTAGAATCTATTATCTTAGGCATATCTTGATCTCCAAGCTTCCCTTCGGTTGGTTGTTTGTCCACCAAGGCCGATGATGTGCCCTGTCTCGGTTGGGCCTCAGATATTAACGCCCTCAGCCCACCCTGCTTTTAGTGGGCTCATATGTGGGCGTGTGAGGTACCCTGGGTCTATATCACTGATATGACTTGTTGAATACGTTAAGTACTACTAATGGTGAAGATGAAGATCAGGTTATTCGAACCCTAACTTGCATGTGGGCTAGGTACCTATGCCGTGCCTTGATGTCATGTTAACGGCCTTTTGTTGCCTCTATGAAACAAGGTGTATAACACCAGGTAAATTCTCTTTCATATAAATTCCTGTATAACTATGACAAATGGTGTGCACTAGAGCATTCAGTGAAGCTGAGTAACCATGAGTGTGTTTGAATTTCATTTCAACTCAACGGACAGTCTGGTGTTCGATATGAAGCATTCAGTGAGTACAGGTCAACTGAGTTCAAGTCATTCAAACCTCTTTAGACTTTTGCTCTGGTCGAAGCATCCGGTTTTGCACCTGAGCATCTCTTGATCGTTGGCTGCCAACTCAATACCACGGAGGGTTTGCCCGGTGAGGCATCCGGAGAGAACAAGGGAGCATCCGGTAAGCAGAGTTGCTTCTGAGTTTTGTTTTGGGTGATCTGGGAAAAATAAATCTTGTGACATCATCCAGTGGTGCTCCGTAGCATCCGCTATTATTGTTTAGGCTTTGCTCTTGCTGAGTCTCTGCTTTCACCAGAGCTTCCGGTGCTCAGATCAAGCATCCGGCCGGTGGAATGGCGAGCACAGTGTGAGCCCGTTTTCTTTAGGTTATTTGTAGTGTTCGTTCTGCTTTGTTTCCATGCTTTCCTAACATCTTGTTTCTAGGGTCCATAGGTCCTTTGTGACAATGTGACCTTGACGAAAGCTAGAAGAGATACTTGCAAACAATTTCGGGATATAGGCTGCCTTAGGTTGGGTGGTCACCATTCAGTCCGGTCCTTCACGGTGGTTCCTTGATGTTGGGCACTTGTTCTTGCTTCCTTGAGGTCTTGTTTGGATGTCCATGTATTTATCTAAACCCACTTGTGTTGAAGTGGATTTGAGTGAAAATTAAACTAAAATCTATTCCAATCCATTCCAACACAAGAGGATTAAGGTAGATACATGTGCATTCCAATCCACTCCAACACAAGAGGATTGAGGTAGATACATGTGCATCCAAACAAGGCCTGACGTAGAGTGTATGCATTTATAGTCCAAAAACACATCTATACAGTAGAGTTCGTAACACATGGCACCGTACAACAGAGTTGACTGACGCATACATATGGTCTTTTATTAATAAAAAAGAAAATAAAAGATACATTACAGCTTAGTCCGGAACTGATCAGGACTAGTAATTAGAGAATAACAGTAGTGAACATACGGGAGATCAAATGACCAATATAATGGCAATGAGGAGGACAGTACGTAAGCACAAATATTATTCTCAGGATTGGAGGGAGCTAGTCGGAGGCGCTGGTGCCACGGCCTCTCGCTTATTAAATTTATTTATTTAATTATATGGTATGTCTGAGTCTTCATCGACAGACAGAACGCCACTCACGCTGGGTTCCGGGGCTTCTGGTGGCTGCCAGTTGCCTCATCATGCGCCTACTTGTCCGGCCCATGGCCATGCGTCTTCTCCACGGATGCGAGGAAGCTGCGCCATTGCTTGATCGCGTGATCGGCAGCCTGCATCCAAGACAAACCCAGAATAATGGGACCTTAATGAAATCAGATCCATAGATGTTGGTGCGTATAGCCATACTACAGCAACCATGTACATACGTACCAGGTATATGTCATGCTGCCTCGCTCGGTTGATGTCCCCACGTAGGACGGCGGTGATGTCGCGGGACTCATGGCCTTCTTCCTGGTGCGATGGCGGTTGGTTAGTGCGCGGCAAGTCATGGTCCAGCTTGCACCAGAGGTCGAATCGTTTGTTGACCCCGTCCAGAAGCTCGGCGGCGCGCTTGCAGACAATTGACGTCCCCGCATCTTGGGCGGATGCTTCCTTGGCCAGCTGCCTATGGGCCTCCTGCACCATTGCGTCCATCGCTGGCGTGCGGAATTGGCCGGTTGCAACCATGTGAGCTCCTGGCAAGCCTGTAGTTGTCGCGCGCTGCATCTGATAGCTCGATAGCCATGAGTAGATGCATCCAACACCCAAGCCCTGCTTCAGGATACCCACCATGGCGTTGATGTCCTTGTCGATGCCTCCCAGGTCAAGGAAGTTCCTCGGGGCTTCTTTCCAGGATTCATCGGACTGCTTGAACTCCTTCCACTTCCTCTCCAGCAAGCTCGCTGCGATGGCCTGCAAGACCGGGTCATCTCCTTCCTTCCCATGGACAGCACCTGCAGCCTCCTCCTTCAAGACCTGGAATTCCTTCAGAACGCTTATAAGAAAGTCTAGCACCTTGAACCGGACCATCTGCTGCAGGACCAAGGGGTAGGGTGGGCAGGGATTTGCAGGAGCAGTTGCAGTATCGGTCACGTGAACTGGGAGTGACACTGAGCAAGAGTCAGTGGCGGTCGACTGCCTGCCCGGCGCTTCCTTGTACGTGACACTAGCAGCAATCCCATTCAAAGTTGTATTGTAACCCTGCGACCAAATCCCGGTACGATAAGAAAAGTAGACAATGAAGTCCTTCACCTCCCTAGCATAGAGCGTGCCAACCAAGATGCCTCCGGAACTCCCCCGGAGTATGTAACCCCCAGAGTCGATCCTTGTTATCAGCAAACCGCCTGGCCGGATGTCAACGCAGGCGTCGACAGCTACTACGGTCTTGAACCCAGCTAAGCAGATGGCGAGTGCCTCTATGATCTTGCTGTTGAGGTTGTCGGTGATGGAGGAATAGATTCCGTAGGATATGTTAGAAATGTAGTGCAGTGCCTTTGGGTCGTGAGCCTTGCCCAAACCGAAGGTGTGGACTGGGTACTTTCGGAGGAGGCCTCGGATGGGATCCGTGGGGGCGATACTATCATCGCCCCATTTGAACTGGCTGTCTAGACCATCCGAAATTAGAACGATGAAGCCTGCACGCTTCTTATCCGCTCGGTCGTCCAGGAGCTGTAATATTTGGTACATATAAATTAAAACAATAAAAAGGTGAAATCCAAATTTAATCAAAGTTTTTACGAAGAAAAGGAGACCAACTCAGCCACAGTTGAAATTATACGTGAAATTTGACATAAAGATTGAATACAATACTTCATCCGATGACAGATGTAGGTCCATCTAGGTTTGTACCAACTCAAACTACTCTAGCTAATTTTGTCTTGCAGCATCCATAAAAATATTTTATATTCAGTGAAAGGAGTTATATATTATAAAAGTTGTTTTCACAATGAATTTAGTAATGTCAACCCTGTATTGACAATCTAGGTAAAATTTTAGATGTGGATGGTAAAAGCTAAAAGGTTTGGCTGAGGACAAACCTAGAAGAAACTAATCTAGGTATAACTATTTTATAAGTAGCTTCTTCATGGACTAAGTATAAATATTTTAAGAATTTTTAATACCTCACTACAAATTCATGGAATAAACACTCGTTTTTGCTGCTTCATGGCAGACTAAATTAATCTTTGCTTATATGATCATTGCATCATGTAATTACTGCCTTTAGAGTTTGATCTTTTGTCTGACCTCTATGGCTCTATACCATCATCTGATTGTGTTATTATTACCATTAGAGTTGGCACCAGTTAACCACTTCATATACCATCATCTGATTGTGTTATTGTTGGGATGAAGCAAACAATCAGAGGTTGTTGCTTCCTGCGCTTCTCTATCTCGCACCCTCACTCTCGGCTCGTGACCACGGCGCTGCCCAAGTGCCGAGGCTTCCAGCCCCGACCAGCCATCATCCACTACTACACGCTAAGATCCACCGGACCTATCAACCTTATATCAGAGATTCTAGGATCTAATGATGTTGATGTGCAAATGTCCCTATCTGGCCATCTAACAAAGGTGGAGAAGCGGCCTGCCAAGTGCCGCGATTTCCCTACAGCAAGCCATGGTACAGCGTCGCCGCACGCCCACTCTTCTGCCGCCCACCGCCAGCATTCCTCCACTCATCATTGCACCATCTCCGCACCCACCACCACGACCTCTGCTCCCCTGCCTACAACCTCCTCCATCCCCATCCACCACGTCTAGTTTCCTCACTCGCCTTCTCTCGTCGGAAATGCGTTTTACAAGGCTTCTCTCGACGACCGTAGTAGCCGACGCTGAACATGTTGTGTGCACCTATGAAGGGTGTCAATACTATGCTCCGTAGACCCACTTGCCGCCCAAGCGCTCCAAATGATCCCCACCATGTGTCCATTCGTGGTCTGGGGGCTCGATATGGTCGGGCCTCTCAAAAGAGCGCCCGGGGGCTATATGCACTTGCTTGTCGCCGTAGATAAGTTTACAAAGTGGATATAGGCTCGCCCGATCTCCATGATAAGGTCCGAGCAAGCCATGCTATTTTTCCTTGACATCGTGCACCGCTTTGGAGTCCCAAACTCCATCATCACGGACAACGGCACGCAGTTCACCAGGAAAAAGTTCCACCAATTCTACGACGAATTCCACATCCGCGTCGATTGGGCCACCGTGGTGCACGCCCGCACGAACGGGCAGGTCGAGCGCGCAAATGGCAAGGTCCTACAAGGCCTCAAGCCAAGGATCTTCAACCGGTTGAACAAGTTTGGTGGACGATGGGTTGCGGAGCTCCCCGCGGTGCTCTAGAGCCTAAGAACGACCCCTAGCCGGGCCACCGGCTACACACCCTTCTTCATGGTCTATGGTTCTGAGGCCATCCTCCGGATCGACCTCGACTACGGAGCACTGAGGGTCAAAGCGTACGCGAGCAGGGAGCCGAGGCGTCCCTTGAGGACGCAATGGATTAGCTCGACAAGGCACGTGACGGTGCCCTCCTCTGCTCGGCTAAGTACCAGCAGTCATTGCACCGGTACCACAGCTGTCGGGTGCGGGGTCGGGTCTTCAACGTCAAGGACCTAGTGCCCCGCCTTGTCCAGAGCAACAAGAACCGCCATAAGCTCTCTCCACCATGGGAGGGACCGTACGTCATCATGGAGGTGCTCCGACCAGGCACCTATAAGCTCAAGACCATCGACAGCGAAGTCTTCGTCAATGCATGGATAATCGAACAACTCTATTGCTTTTACCCCTAATCCATGCCTGTACTTACAAAAAGTAAGAATGTTGTTTCTGCAATGAAAAACGATTTCTCTTATTGATTTCGCTACCGCCTCGTCGACTTTTAGTGACACCCGACCCCGGCTACGTCAGGGGGTCGGGCCTCACTCAGGGGCTGATAAGAGTATATATATACCTATTCAGAAATAACCACTTTGTCTGACCCTTTCTCACGTTAAGAATCTAGAGCAAGGTTTGCAGAAACAAACGATGAGTAAAACTGGTCAGACTGCAAGAAACCTACGCCCCAGCGGCTACGGCACTCTTGCTCACTAGCGTGATCAGAGTTTTTCGCCTGCACCTCGAGCTCTACAGTCTTAACAATAGAAAGGGTTGGAATGCATTAACCTTTTTTACACATAAAAAAGGGAGAAAGAATAAGTTTGTTTTAACGAAACGAAAGGACTAAGAACTTGTCTGCTTATTACAAATGTGCCGCCTGACTTATCTAACTAACTAACCCCTCAATGGGATGATTTCATCTTCTATCTTGGCAGAAAGGTCATGCGCCAGGGGAGCCACAACCACCTCGATGTCGTCCAGCTCGGCGTCGGTGTAGATGGGCGCGAAGCCTTGGCTCATCGTCGCCAGATTGATGTTCTCGTAATGAGAATGGGCGATCGCGAACGATCGGTGAGCGCCAAAGCGAAGTGCGTCCCTTGCCATATCACACGCTTGATCCAAGATCCATGTGGCACGAACCGCGATTGAGCTTGTCTCCTACTCTAGGGCCAGCTCGAGCTCATCGCAGACCAGCTAGACGGTGACGCGCAAGTTGTCGTGTTCATCGCTCTCCTTCTAGAGGATGTCCTTCACCTCACTGAGCTCCTTCTCTAGGCCACATCACGTCACCTCCCTCCGAAGATCATGCGCACGCTATCTCTGGCCGCACCCTCGAAGGACAAGTCGAATGACGGTTCGCCCGGTCGATGGCCCAAGAACCATCATAGGTAAGTAGGGATACGAAGCTGAAAACACTCCCACGGCCCATTCAGGCCCAGAAGTTCAAAGGTTGGCCTACTTGAAAGCTCTAGTTTGGTTTTGGTAAATTGATGAAACCCTAAGTGCCAACCTAGTTTATCAAAGTGATTATGAGATAGGTAGCAGTACTCCAAGTGGTGAAGCAAATGAAGATCATGACATGATGATGGCAATTCCATGATGATGATCAAGTGCTTGGACTTGGAAACGAAGAAAGAAAAACAAAAGGCTCAAGGCAAAGGTATAAGTGGTAGGAGCCATTTTATTTCGGTGATCAAGACACTTAGTGAGTGTGATCATATTTAGGTTCGATAGCCGTACTATTAAGAGGGGTGAAACTCGTATCGAAATGCGGTTATCAAAGTGCCACTAGATGCTCTAACTCATTGCATATGCATTTAGGATCTAGTGGAGTGCTAACACCCTTGAAAATATTTGTGAAAATATGCTAACACACATGCCCAAAGGTGATACACATTGTGTTTAGCACTTGGGAGCAAGGGTAAGAAACTTCACCGGCGGAGTGTCCACCCATAGAGTTGTGCCCAGTGAAGGGGTACAATAACTCTATTTCGTGGGGGCTTCTATTTAAGCCCCATGACCAGCTCTAGCTCACTCTCTTGGCCATTTGCATTGACAAAACAACCTTGTGAGCTTAGCCAAAGCCCTCCCACTCATCTCCATCATTGATTCATCATCTTTATGAGATTGGGAGAGAATCCAAATACATTGCTTAAGTGTTTGCATCTAGAGGCACTTGGTGTTCGTGTTTCGCTGCAGGATTCGCTTGTTACTCTTGGTGGTTGCTGCCACCTAGATGGCTTGGAGCAGCGAGGATCATCGAGCAGGGGTTGGTGATTGTCTCCGGCTCCGATCGTTGTGATTGTGAGGGGTTCTTGACCTTTCCTCGGTGGAGAGCCAAAAGGTACTCTTGTGAATTGCTCGTGGATTGTGTGATCCTCATGTTGTGTTGGTTGTGCGGCACCCTATTGAGGGTTTGGCTTGTGATGCCAATTAGCGCGTGAACCTCCAAGTTTGTGAATTGCCACAACGAGGAGTACCTTGCCGGCAAGCAAGTGAAACTCGGTAAAAAATCATTGTGTTCATCATTTGATTACGAGGTGATTGATATTCATTGGTATTCATTATTGTGATTGATTGGTTCATTCCTTGACTCAACGGTATAACCATCTTGCTCTCTCTTTACATTACCGCAAACTAGTTGTCAAGCTCTTTAGTGTAGCTAGTCGTGAGAGCTTGTAAGTTTGGTTAGTGTGGCTCTTTAGTTAGCTTTTGAGAGCACACTAACTTAGTGTAGTGACATAGTCATTGTGTGGATAGAGACTATAGAAACTAGAATTGTAGTAGGTGTCTTGCATTTTTAGTAGGCTAGCGCAACACTCGCTTCGCCTCATATTTGTCTAACCGGTTTGTTAAGTGTTGTTGTAGAAATTTTTAATAGGCTATTCACCCCGCTCTAACCATTAGGACCTTTCACCACTGACGGGTTCATAACCGCTCTAGGGCACCATTGGAGTGAGGGGTGGAAAGGGATGGGCCCGCTAGCGGCTAGTACCCGGGCGCACGAGCGCCACAGGCATCCCGACCTACATTCTAGTCTAGGTTGGTTTACAATCCATGTTTTTTCCTTGAAGAAAGGCAGAGAGCCCTTAGGACTGGTCGAATGGACACGAGAACTATATGGATTGGCTGCTGAGAATATGGAGTCGGTCACCAGCTGACCCCAACCGGACCCCCATGAATAGGAAGCTAGGGCCCCACTCAGACTAGCCCATTAACAGCTCACGAGCACCATGTTTCGTCCATCGAGGAAAAACATGGCATGGCTCAGCCCCTCTGTTTTATCAAAAAAATGTTTGAGCAATGACAATCACAAAGACAAGCTGACCCCTCCATCGGACCCCTGCATCGCGTGGGGGCTCGAGGGAAGTTGGACTCACAAGGAGACCGAATACGTGATTGCAGGACGATGGCTCGGATCCTAGGGAGGTGTCGAAATCAAGAGAAATATTTTCCGACCCCCCGAA